AAAGGTAATAACAGAAAAATTTAAATAGATATGCACAATAATTTAAATAAACGACGTGTAGTACTGTAGATATCATAAAATGTAAATGAAATTGCCCCCGCCCCCGGAGAGTTGCGGTAAAAAGAAATTCGGAAATTTATATATATTAATAACAAAATCGCCCCGTAGATCAGCTCAAAACGTGTTGGAAGTAAGAGTTTGGTTGTTGTTTAAACAAGTTTAGTGATGCAAACATATTTCATGTCAAGCTTGTATGCAGGGGGTGGGGGGCGTTCGACTGAACCACTTATTTTTGTGATGTCAAAAAATTATGCTTATATAGGTATAGCACAGCTACTTATGGTATTTAACGTTTTTTTTTGTTTGTTTTTTTACATAATCTACATTCTTCTGATGAAACATTAGCATTTTTTCGCTTGAAATAGTTGCCTTGTTGCTACTATCAGGTTTTGTAGACCGAATCCTTCACAGTAGGTGTCTGTGATTTGTTGGCAATAAATTTTAACAATAAACAAACAGCAGCACAGTCCACTTGCTTTAAAATAATATATCAAAACAAGTCAAATGTATATAGAAATGTTCGTTACACAGTTGGTTATCACATTTGTATCCAGAGCTTTAAATAATTGTCTCTTTTTCGTCCAAGTCCACACAGGCTGGTTCAATTACTTCACGTGTGTGAGGTTATTGGGTATGGAGATGATTATTTTTAAATCTTTAATAACAATTGGGCTGCTGAAGATAAGAAAAAATGCTATGGCTTATCAAAAAATACTTCAATCTTTGAATTCATTTTTGTTTAACAGCTTTACAACGTTCCTTTTACTATTTGAAAGAAACATCTGTAAATTTGCAAGGTCCAAGCCAAGACGTGATGTTTCCCTAATAGAACAATGCTGCAAAGAACTGACTTCACTAAGAATGAACATAAATGATTATTCACACCATATCTTCAAGAACAGCAGTTATATTGCAAACAAATCTATTGTTGCGTCAGCGAGGTCACGTGACTAGTATCACGCCACGTCCTTCTCACGAACCTTAGTGAATTATCGGGAGATTACTAGATTGGGGGTCGACTGGTATATATAAGATGGTCACAACGTGACGGGACAATGTGTAGGTAATGAGTAATTGAACTGCAGTCAGAGAGTGTGTAATTGAACTGGGAACAAAGTTACGGAAAATCAACTAACGAACATGCCACGAGTTAGTCAACGACAAGCCCAACGTGCAAATGCAAAATATAGTTCCGTGGAGGATTACTTTAAGAAACAGTAACCATTCCTTTTCTTGATCACATTATCAGTAATCTTTCGTCGAGATTTGGTGCACATGTAATGCAAGCTGCATCAAAACACACACAAGAGTTTTTATCTCTGATATCAGGCAGGCTGTAAATTTTTAAAGGCAAATTTGCCAAATCCCAAATCATCGACGGAAGAAAGATGGCTTTCTATACCTCTCCAGGACAGGCCCCCGATACTGGCTTCAGTATCGTGGATGGATCGTGCTTCAGTGTACCAAATATCTTTATGTTACTGAAACTCTTTATCACACTGCATGCCTCCAGACCCCAGTAGTATTAGCGTGCTTTGCATGCTGATTGTGCTTCGCATAATATGTGTTGGCTTTTTATCTCACAAATTATACCCCCCCCCCCTTCGTACGGGCCTGTATGCCGTAGGGTTTGGAACATTTCAAATAGTTTTGTCCCCTCCCCCGGAAATATTTCTAGTTATGTTACTGGAACTGTGGCTCTTAAATAAATCCAGTGCTTACCTCGCATAGGTCGAGCAAGTCTAACACTCCAACAGCTGTGGCCTTGGAGTATCAATTCAAAAATTTTATATACGTGTGTAGTTGTAGCAAAAACGCCCTCCGAGAACTTTGGGCTCGTAAGACTGCTATAAGAGTTCGATATAAATTCACTATTCGGTCAGAAAAACTACGCTCCAGGGTTGCTCCAGAAATAATCATTGGGGGGGCTCAGTAGAGAGTGAGTAGACTAACCCTTATAATTTGGAGACGAATTTGAGTGATGATGTAATTACGTGCAATGGGGTAAAAAGTGGGTGGATAATTTTAATTATTATTTTTTCATATTATCATAAAATCCTTCAGGTTTCAGACAAGCAGCTCATGGCTGGTTGAGTTTAGAAGTCATTAGACGTTTATTTGTGTTTCGGAAACTTTTTCTTTTAGTAATCAAGTACTGATTTATTTTCTGCCGGAAGATTTAGTGTCCACAGTGATTTGACCCCGACAAAGCCCTGCCTGAGAGCTTATCGAGTCGGACCAGATGTTTGTCAACAATAAACTGTTATAAAAATATCCGTATGATAAACTTCAGAATTGATAAACCAGTCAAAATGCATTTCACTAAATCTCTTAACCAATAAACATTATTTTTTGACTGCGTTGCTACATTTGAGTATCGCGGATTTCAGATATAGTGTTTAATAATGGCTGGAGACGGCTTAAATGGGTAATGAAGAAAAACTTTAATATAAGTTTAACATGACAGCAAACGTACAACGTTTCGACAAGGTTTTGTCATCATCAGGTACAATGAAGAAAAACTTTAATATAAGTTTAACATGACAGCAAACGTACAACGTTTCGACAAGGTTTTGTCATCATCAGGTACAATGAAGAAAAACTTTAATATAAGTTTAACATGACAGCAAACGTACAACGTTTCGACAAGGTTT